TCCGGTTTGTTCTGGGTTTGTGCCTGGAGTTCTCGGCCCTTGATGGATGGGTGGGTTGTTGGTGGCATGCAGCTGAGCTAGTTGATTTTGCCTCGTTGCTGGTTTGGCTGGTGTTGCATGGCGGCCGGGGGGCGCGCTGGGCATGGGGGATGTCGGCTGGCGCCGGCGGCCTTAGTTTTTTCCGGCGGTTGGGGGGATGGTGGACTTTTATTGGCGGGTGCACGGTGACCTGTGCGGCGCGTTTGCTGCCGGGCTGGGACTTGCTGCTGGTGTCTCTCTCCGCTGGCTTTCGCTGTCGTGTTGTTCCGTTTGCTCTCTCTCATTTGCCCGACCTCGCATGCGGAATTCGCGGGGGGCTGCTGGGCATGGGTGTCGCCGTGCTCGCGCAGTGTGCGCATTGGGCTCGTCACTTGTGCATTGGTGTTGATGATTGCGTGGCATTTGGGCATTGTGGTTGTTTGCTGCGCGGCGGTGGGGTGCTGGATGGGGGAGGCCACTGGTCTATGTTGTGTCTGCGCCGCGGTCGGTCCGGGCGCTGCTCTTCCTCTTTTGCGTTCCGTCGGCATTACGTTGTCAACTGGCATTTGGGTCGGGGTCTTCTGCGTTTGCATCGCGGTGCATCTGGGAGTCTTTGTTTTTTTTTATTTGATTTATTCTTTTTCTTTCTTCCACCCCTATTGGCTACTGGGGTTCTTGCCTGCCTGTTACAGTCGTGGCGTCCCACTCTCTCTAACAACTACATTCTTTAACAGGCTTATGCGCACACACATGTACATACACACATACAGACACATTCACCCACACGCACACAGACACACACAGACACAAACAAACTTAGGTTGTCCCTGGTAGAATTATTCCTGATGCCTTTCTTTCAGTTACTTATTTAAATTAATTATTATTCCAGCTCTCGTGGCTGTGTTGTGTTGCTTATTTAGTGTGTGTGACTGTTTCTTGTTTTCATTGTTCTCTTAGTTGTCTTAATATGTCATTAATATGTCAGCTGTTTATTGCTGCTGTTCGGCTGGTTTTCTTTTACTATTATTATTATTATTTTTATTGTTTTTTTGTTTGTGTTTGTTTGTTGTTGTTTTTCTCCTCCCCAAGCCCCCTCTCTGTTCTCTTGCAGGTTTCGTTGCTTTCTGCAATTGGTGTTTCCCACAGCTTTTCCCTGTTGTCCCCACCCTCCATCCCCCTTTCCCCCTTCTCTTGCAGGTGTTGTCCTTTCTCTGTGCTGTCTGTTTGTGCCCCCCCATCCCCGTGTCTGCCCCCCTGTCCGGCCCGGTGACAAATCAATACATAATTAAATAAATAATAAAACAGACAAAGGAGTATTTTAATACTCTCTTGTTAAAGTAAAATCTGTCTGGCACAATATGGTATCCAGGTCATTATACTCTATACCAGGCTGCTGGGCAGGACAGGTTTAAAAAAAATAAAAAATAAAAATAAAATAAAAAATAACAGCAACGTAACTCCAAATCAGGAGGTGCGTAGCGAGTGTTTGATTGACCGCGAGCGGAGGGAAATATTCTGCCAGGAAATGTACTAAGTCGGTTACATTGTTGTCAGCTTCTCAAGGCCAAGAGAAGGGTCAAGTCTGTTGTTTCCTAAGCTGCTGAAAAAACATCTCCCCTCCCCTTCAGACTGCGCAGCTGAGCAGGAAAGCTTAACGTTAGACAGCAGGCTGCGTCTTTTGCTGCTATGTAACTTAACATTAGCTTAATTACTAGGAAGTAACTGGTAGCTGGATTTTATTACTGCCTACTAGTCCAATGTTGAGAACATCAGGTATAAACTGGCGTAGCCTACAGCTCTGTCCTGCACAGACTGCTTCATCCGAAATTATATTTCAGATTTCAGGTGGGTCTGAAAAAGTGGTTGTTAGGAAAAGAAAGGATGGTGGTGACTGGAGGAGCTGAGGTCAGTAAAGCTAATTTGTGATGCACACTAGTCCTTTTAAGCTAATGAGAGACGTTTCATTTTGGATTTTAATGTTAAAATAAAGTGCAGCTCAGAAGGAAGGTGGTTTCTCATTTTTCTTTATATTAATGTCAAAAGCTGTAAAATAAAGAGACCAATCTCTTTGTCTCTCTTTATTTGTCTCCGTAGGGAGATTTGTAATTAGTAAAGACAAACATGAACAGTCGTATCTACAATAATTCTGAGGTCATATTAACAGGGTTTTCCTGCCGTTAAGGCTTAGGGGTGATGCCCAAAACATGCTGTGCCATAAATGTCAATCACTGTTGACAGCATCATAACCAGCCAAATTACTTTCCCCTGATCTAAAGGTTGTAGTTCCTCCCCAGTAGACTGATCTTTGGGTGTTGGTTACTTATTATCTGCTCTAGCTTTTCCAACTATGTGTTCAGAGAGATGGTGAAAATAATGGCCCAAGACATGAAATTACAAATTTGATACTGTTGAATTATCGATACAGTTGTACATGTTGTATTGCATGTGTGTCCATTCGTTTGATAGTCCACAAGCTGTAGTCCACATAGTCCAGCAGGGTTCTGGTTACAGTCCATAAGGAGGGTCTGAGCTCTTATTGAAGTGGTAAAATCCTGCATCTGTGGGGGTCACTAATTCATTTACCTACAACCATTATTTTTAATCACAAATGTATTTTCATTGAAATTATTATTTACATTAATAAGAGAAACGGGCTAAAATAAACACATTTTCCAAACGAACTACACTGCGCACTGCATGAATGTCATGTCATTACGACATGATTAATAATAATTAATATGGGACCATAAAAGGCGGGTTTGCGGTCACTCCTTGAGCAGTAGCCTTTGTTGGTTTGAAACTTAAACTTTGTTGCAGTATTAAAGAATTCTGGGGCAAGTAGTGTGCTGCTGTGTGTGGAGAAAACCACCTAATGATCAATGAAGTCTGTCTGTCCAGGCTTCTAGTATTTATTTCTTTTTTAATCTTGTAAGGTTTCTTATACTACAGACCCCCGCAAAACAAAAAATTGTAGTCCAGTTCCCACAGTTGTCAGTTTTTCCTATTAACCCTCTAGGTTAAGTCTCCATACATACACATATCATATGTTATCAAGCTTCTTCTTCTTCTGCTTCTTAAGTTTTACAGGCAGACTACAAACTAATGTTAAAAGTGCTCCCACCTATATTGGAATGACTAACATTATGACTTCAAAAACAAAACTTGCATTATAAAGAAGATATATTCTGGAATGAAGCTAGTTAGATATTTATTGAAACCCCCTTGAACCTATCATTGTAAATCAGACCTTTGATACCTTTCTATACTGAACCTCCTCCAACCCATCACTCCTTACAGTTACAATTCTCACATTTATCTGACACTGACTTTATTATTGTGTATAAAGTAGCAGTGAAATAACTTCATCTTCTGTTTTTCTTCTATTACTTCTCACTTTGACAGACACTGCAAACATCTCAACTTTATGTAGTTTAACCTCCTTTACCCACTGAAGACAGATGAATAGGCTATTGCTGTTAGTTCTGCTCTCCAAACTGCTAACCTGCTGCTTTTCTGTTAACAATTTTTTTGTCAACTCTGGAATGCATATGTCCAATCTAACATGTTTTTGATCCATGGTAAATATATTTGAACCAAATAATCCAATGTCATTATTTTGCTCACTATCTCCTCTCTTGTAATATTTGAAGATTTACTTTGGGTTATAAAATACTTGGTGATTCTTCTCATAGAGGTAGTCATGTTTTTCTTCTAATGGCTGTAAAACCTTCATTAACCAAACATAATTTGGGTAGAGCGGGTTGCCCACTAATCGGAAGATCAGTGTTTCAATCCCCAGCTCCTCCAGGCTGCATGTCAAAGTGTCTTTAGGCAAGATACTGAACCAGGGACGGACTGGGAGTAAAACATTTCCCTGGACTTTCCAGACCAGCCCACCAGAACTGGCGCCCATATACTCCACCCAACTGCCCTCCAATACTAATCTAATGTTAAATAATATGCTGTGTTCTTCTACACATCCAAACGGTCTCACACAGTCCAGATTCATACAGACACACTATTTGGAGTAAAGCAGCCGTCTTCCTGATCAATTCTGAGCTCCATTAGAGCATCTAAACATTTCAGACGCTAAAAGTTGAATTCTGTTCTCTCTGCAGGGTTTCCTCTGTCTGACATATCAAGTTTTTAACAATTTGCTTTTGTTTTGCTGCATAAATGTCCAACAATATTAAATGCACGCATGGAAACGTTTAAATGACTGACCGCCACTGTACTGAACCCAAAATTGCCCCTGATGGCTGTGCCATCGGCATACGAATGTGTGTGAATGTTAGTTTCTGTTGTGATTCTCAAATGTGATGTAACGTAAATGTGCTTTAAGTACTCAGGAGACTAGAAAGGTGCTATACAAATACAGAGCATTTACATAATTCCATTTAGGCTATTAAAGTTAACTGACTGGGTACAAGGTAGATCCAATAATCATAAGACTTACATATCAAGATTAATCTGTAGTTCAGATCATCTTACAAAAACAAATGTTATATTAAAAAAAAACGATATAAAGGAAAGGAAAACTTGGAACAGGAATTTAGCCCTCAGCAGTTTCTGAGCTTCCTTCACCAGTGTGGAGATGTGAGATGACCATGTCAGGTTCTCTGTGATCACTCCACAGTGAACAGCCTCCTTGGCATTTTCTAATGAAGTAAAACATTTATCTGGTGACTTCTTTAAGTGTCTGCTTAGAGAAATTCTGACCTATGAACAAAAGTAGTTGAGGACCCAGCTGTAGAAGGTGTGGAACACATTCTCATGCAGTACAGAAAATATCATTCAGAGAGGGACAGGAATGGAGGTTGAAATCGCTACTGAGCTCAGAACAGGACATGAGGGAAATCAGACGGGGGTTGATAGGTTATATAATCCAGACAGGACAGGGTTTGGACATTTTATTTTATAGATATAGTGCCGTGAAGCTAGTCGCTCCGACACGGAGGGTGGCAGTGTGCACCTTTCAAGTCGGTTTGCGACAATGAATGCTACACACACAGAAGGAGGAGAAGAAGAAGACAGACGTAGCGGAAGAAGACGCAGGGCCGCTCCGCGCCAGTACAGTCTATGGTCACACCATGCTCCTCTTCTCTAGAACAGCGGCTTTCTGTCCGCACATGTGTCACCTTGCGAACACACAGCTCAACATGGCGACGGCGCGGACAGTGCGGACTCTCTCCAACCAGGTAGCCACGTCCATACGAGCCAACTAGCGACCGTTAGCGAACAGCGCACTGCTACATCATTCTGCGTAACGTTAGCACAAGTTGGCCTCGCACACTAACGGTATTTAATATTCCAGCTCAGAAGCTTGTCCCACCTGACGGGGGTCCGTCCCTTCTCTCGGCCTCCAAACAAAGTAAGTGCCGGTTCCAGACTGCTGTCAGAAGCCGGGCAGTTTGAGGGTTTCTTACCGACAAATATCTTCTCCTAAATATTGGTAAACATATAGACTTTACCATTAAGGACTAATGGAAGTAAGTTAGCTTCTCTGACCTCCGTTTCTCTGTGTCAGTGGTTTGAGAGCAGAGCCGATGGAGATAGGTGGAGGAAGAACATCCATCTGACATCAGCCAGCCCTGTGCAGATAAGGTAGGCCCCAGCTCTGTTCTTCCAGCAGCAGCCGGCCTCAGTGCCCAGACTTGATGTGTCCCTCTGTCCCTCCGAAAGGGAGCTGTCGGAAGCAGAGTATGAGAAGCTGGCAGACGAGACTTTGGATGCTCTGGCGGAATATTTTGAAGACCTGACAGATGAAGCTTTCACTGGAGCCGACTACGATGTTGTCTTCTCTGTAAGTTATTATCACTCACTGGAGAGGACGGTGGCTCTTATCCTTTACTGTAAAAAGGAATAGTTGGTGCAATCCTTACATTGGAGAATCTGTAAAAAAACAAATAATGAACTATTCTTTGGCTACCAAAATGAACTGACCTATTTATCAACTCATTGATTAAACAACTAATCTGTTAGATTGACTTTTGCAAGGACAGGGAAAGATAATATCTGACATCTGGCATTTGACGCTGAGAAAAACACTCGCAGACTGTCAGAGTGGAGCGGCGTGGAGAGAACTCGATGAGGTCGACGCTCGTAGCCATTTTGGATTTGGACTTTCTTCCAGTAACCTGTTGACTTTTTGGCCTCTGCAGACAGCTACAAGCCAACGTTTTATTCGGTGCACGATTTTCTGCAACGCCAGGGGGCATCACTATGTTTTATCATTGGCCAACTTTTGAATGAGTATTTTTTGTTTTCTTACTGGGATACAGAAAGACGGACTGAGATCCGGACTCATCAATTGGTGGTTGAACTGTGGGGTTTGGCCCGGGGCCAGTAAAACGTAACGTCGGGGCAGTTGAACTAGCAACTCACTGGCCCAATCAAAAACATTAGTATTTAAAAAAACAAAACTCAACATCCTGCAGTTGTTTTGCAGCTCTTGGCGCACTGATGTCCAATCCAGAGCTGTAGTTACGTGACGAGAGGTTGTCAAATGTTATGTTTCTAATCTCAATCATGTGGCTGGGTCTTAAACTGCATTCTCTCTAACGGCCAGCAGGGGGCGAGTTCCATTAAAAATATTGGTAAAATGTTTCTACTTGTCAGCTGATTTATTCCCTCAGTAAACACTTTCCTGATGAGTTTCTGGTCTCAGTCGCTAGTTTCAAGTCTTCTTCAACACAGCATGATGTTCATTTAGTAAATTATGGTCCCATTTAGAGGAACAGAGACCAGGAAGCAGGGGAGGCTTTAGGGCGGGGCTACCTTCTGACTGACAGGTCGCTACCATGGCAACCTGTTCATCAGGATAGAGGCGACTCGTGTCCGCTGCTCTGTGGACATTTTTCATCATCATCATGTCAGCAGGAGAGAGAGCACGTCATCTTTGAGTCTGTTAGTATGTTTTGTTTTCAAAGTAAAGTGTTTTGTTAACCTTTTTTATTTTTTATCATTTTAACTGTGATTACATTTTAGTTTAGTTTTTTTTATGTCCAGAATGCATTTAATAAGCCGGTGGGGCCAGCTGCAGAAGTTTGACAGCTTATGTTTAATCTATCTAATGTTGTGTTGGTCAGACTATACACTGATTTGCTGCCTGTCCGTTTTGAATAATACAGAAGGTAAAGAGCTTAAAAATGAATCGCACATTAAATCGCAATATTGGTTAAAAAAACATCACATTTAGACTATTTTCCAAAATCGTTCAGCCCTATTCTATGTTAATGTATAATTTCTGCTACGTAGCATAAGGGAGTTCCAAACTCTATTTCACTATATAATAATAATTGCATGCTCTGTAGTAACATGACCAGCGTGTTCATTGGTGAGCCTGGGGGTTTTGGAAACTTTGGACAGAGCCAGGCTAGCTGTTGCTCCCTGCTTCCAGTTTTTATGCTAAGATGGGCTAAGTACCTGACTTGGGCTCTGTGCTGAACACACAGAAGTGAGCAGCAAGACATGGGGGCAGACATACATACAAGAATATAAAATGCATAAATTACTGAATATTGCGCACTCAAGGTGAACAACAGTGTAAGAATGAAGTGCTTGTAAGGACAAAATGGTACATTTTGGGACATCAGTTACACAGTCAGCATGACAACGGTCTTAAATACAACATGGATAGGTAAATGGGCCTACAATTCAACAGCCATCTGGAAAAAAAAACATAGCCAACAGTGTCCATCATAAACAACAGAATCCACATAGTTAGCTCAGTTTGCTTATTGTCATTCAACCGTGTAAAACAGGAAGGAATGAAATTCGTTTCCCAGGTCCAGCATTGTACAGAATAAATAACGATCTGAGATAAACCCTATATAAAATCATCTAAATAACCCTAACCCTGCAGTCACAGCACAGATGAGCTGTAAACCAGCCTCGCAGCCTTTGGGAAGAAGCTGCACGTTCTTCTTGCTCTTAAGCTGTGCAGCCTTCTGGCTGAGGTCGGCAACATCGTGTAACATTGTCATCCAAAAAAGCAAATGTTTTCCAAAATGTGAAATCTGTAGACTGGTTTCTGTGCAACGTCATCACAGACATGCGCGCTCAGCCAGGGGGCAGAAAGCAGCACTCTGTCTTGGCGGCAAATCAGTTTATACGACATATCTAGCAGCAGTGTTGGGCAAATTACTCAGAAATTTGAATGACTTACTTATTACTCCTTTAAAAAGTATTAATATTACTTTATCTATTACTGGGTCTTAAAAGTAAATAGTCACGTTACTCGTTATGTTGCTATTACTTTCAACACCCCACCCCATCCTTGAAAGTGACCTGTTCAGCAGCGCATTTTAGAAATGAATCCACTTTACTGGAACAATAATGAACCTGAGGAGTCAACAAGCAGCCAAACTGAAAACACTGCTGGCTCTCAGACCAGAGGATGCCGGCTCTAGAGGCACTGGATATAGGCTACAGTGTTTCCCCTAGGATTTTTATCAGGGCGGCTGAACGACCCCCGAAAGTACCAGAGTCGCGGCGTGGCCATGTTTCGGACATCATCGCAACGCATTGCTTTTTGCCTGTTAATATTTGTCAACTTCTCCATTGCTCTTCCACGTAAAATCTTTCAGAATTCTGTGTTTTACAATTTAAGCACCTTTTAGTCATCAGAAAGTGCGTAATCATGTGGTGGTGAATATAACTTCAACAATTCAATGAGAAAAGATTACAAATTGTATCATGAAGATGCTATATATTCAAATTCATGTGCAATTATTTATGTGGACACAGTAAATGTAGGTTATTGCAATGGTAGGATGATAAAACAGGCTGTTATAATACTGTCTGATAAGGGACAATTGTATGTATTGTGAATGAAACAGGTTATTACTCGACAGCCTCCACATGCTGCTGAATTCAGGGTATAAGTGTGTCTGACAGCGCTACTCTCACATGGGCAGCGTGCATCCTTTTTCACAAAGCTTGACCAAACATGTTTTTCATTCTTTTTTAACGGATAATCTGACTACGCCACCACAGCCGCGAAAAATCTACCACGAACTGGGCTGGTCGTCTTGCAAACAAATTGAACTTTTGAGGCGTAACGTTACCTTCTGCATATGCATTTATTCAATTCAATTCAGTTTTATTTATATAGCACCAAATCAAAACAACAGTTATCTCACAGCGCTTTTCATAAAAGAGCAGGTCTAGACCGTACTCTGTGATGCTATTTACAGAAGCCCAACAGTTCCCACCAAGAGCAGCACTAGGAGACAGAGGCAAGGAAAAACTTCCTTTATAAGAGTAAGTATTCAGGGCTTTGCAACTGAACACCACTCTCCCCTGCCACGTGGAGCATCACTGGCAGCACCAGCCGGAGCTTCTTTTCACACTGCTGTGCCGCTTTAGCAGACGCTTCAGTACAAAATTGTTTGCGGTTGAAAGCTTGCTGCTGGTCACACAAAGTTTACAACGGAAGACAATGTTCGTTGCTGTGGAAAGAACACCGTTCTCGATTCTTCCTTTTAGCTTTTTGGCTAGCAGCTGACTTGAACAACATATGTTCCGGTGCCGCTGACCTGCGCATGTTATATTAAAATGCAAATGAAACCCAAACAGATCCAACTCTGAAATGGCAGTTTATTACTGAGTCAACAAGAATTTACCAACAATGTGTAACCTACGTTGATTAGAGGGTAGGGTTGGGCGTACAGACATCACGACGTAGAGCAGGCATTGTGATTGTAAGACATCGCCCAACCCTATTAGAGGGTTGACTGCAGTCTTCTGACCGGCTACCAAAACAGTTTTGCACCCTGTCTGTGCCGCATCCAGTAGTGTTTGTTGAAAAAGAGCCGGTAGGCAAGGCAGGTGAAATCAGAGCATTGTGGGAAGCCTGAGATTAATGCATTTGTAACATCCGTTTATTGTAGTTTCATTTTGAGTTGTGGTTGAAATGGTTTATTACATTTCATGAGTCACAATAATGTGTGTGTGTTCTGTCTTTGGTATTTGTACAGAGCGGTGTGTTGACAGTGAAGGTGGGCAGGGACCACGGCACCTACGTCATCAACAAACAGACTCCAAACAAGCAGATCTGGCTTTCTTCGCCCACAAGGTAAGGCCGGAGATTCGTAACACATCTCATACTAGTACTGAGGTACAGATCCCATGAACCAGGGGCCTGTACTACGAAACAGGATGTGAGATCAGAGAGGTAACATCAGGTGTGACCTTGGGTTTTCAGTCCTACGATGGTGGTTCACTTCTTACTGGGGTACATCGCCATGGTAAGTGATGCTGAACGGCTGTAAAAGACCTGACCAATCAGCTCTCTTGGAAAATGACATCACCATCCGTAGGAGATCCCACACACTGTTTTCTACTTTCTCTGTGATGCAGTGATGCTTTGTACACCAACATCATCCTACAAAGACTAAGTGAGGCTCTGAAGCCTCGTGCTGGTTGTAATCTAACAGTAACGTTTTCAGAATTTTATTTGCTCCAGAGTTCATTTCACACAGCCTGTCACAGGTGTTAAAAATGGTTTAATTATTATTTTTATGTGAGGCTGAACATTATCAGCATATATATTTTAGTGTTCAAGTTCAGTTTAATATGAATTAGTTCATTATAATTTTAGGTTGCTTTGTTCCCTTATATTACAGAGTCCGGTCATGTAGTGCCCACCTTTTGTTATCTAGGCAGGTGATGAGGTGAGTTCTCAGTAAATGTTGAATTGAAGCCGGGGTTGAGATTCAGGCTTTGACCGCGATTCTAACGACTGTAACTACAGACAAGTGGCTCGCAGGTATATTTAGAATACGTTAAACATTATAGTTTAACCGCTTGTTAACATTAGCACTCTTCCACTGATAAACATGGCATAAGCTTTGGGGGGGGAATCTAATTTAGCTATGGGCAGTGTTAGCTGCTGTAAGTGTTGTTAAGAATATTTAGAATAGATGAAGTAGGGAGAAATGAGAGGACCGTTCACTAGAACTGCTACACTGTTTCAGAAATAAATACAATCAAGTCTGTCAGCAGCGTAGCCTCCATTATTAAACATACTGCTGTGAGCCGGGAGGAGTGTTAGCAAGAATGATCATGAATGTTTGGAGCTAATCACGGCCATTCTAGTTGATGCTTGTGAGTCCACCAGAAGCAGCCGCAGTGCATCCCAGAAGCAGCTCTCCACTCCGCTCCGCAGAGAATAGGAAGGCGCGTCAAATGGCACAGAGCAGATCGTACCAGGCAGGAAGTCAGACACAGAACGGAGAATCCAGTCAATATTCAAAATAAAACACCCTGCGGAGACTCGCGATCATAAAACAGCAACAAAAGAAAAGAAATCAGTTAACCTCTTAACTCTAAAATTTATATAAAACGCCTATTCAAGGCATATCCAAAGTTAAATGAATGTAGTTCTTGAACCATTTGGAGTATATGCATGGTTTTGGGCTTCTCTGAAAGATAACCCTCTGGAATATCTAACCCAAAATGATTGTAAGTGCTACTGGAATTGATTAATAGAAGTTTAAACACACTAAAACTAATATATTTTTCATTTCTGCTTGAAAATGCTTGCTAACAAATGCATGCAGACAACTACAGCTGGGACTTATTAGCTGTAAAACTCTGTAGGGCCTACCTAGTCCTAGTTTAAATTTCATACCAATACCATGAAAAATGACTATTTGACACAGGTTTTTCTGAGTGTCTGTCTTGGCGTATTTTATCTAAAACAGCTCCGCCCCTTGGCGGCAGCTGCTGCATCGCTCTGTATTAGCCGGGAGCTCGACGCAGACGTGTTTTTTTGCTGGTAGAATATGAACTTCCTACTTAAAGCTGAATATCGTTATTTTCAGAATTTTATTGGCTACAGGAAGTGCCAGTCATCGGCACAATTGCTTGCAATTGGCTCAGCCTACCCACAAAATAACAGTGGCTGGCCCTTCTATACAGCGCGGGCTCTTGTTGGCTGTTGTAGGCTCTGAAAGGGAGCTGTGAGCTCCTACTGGGTCGGATTTGGTGTCACTCGAAAGGTCAGAGTTCAGCGGCTAATTTGAATACAAACTATCGTAGTTGTTTACATTCAAATCAGCGTTATTACGGTTATAATGACAAACGAACCACGTCTGCCGGCGAATATGAAGCGATGCGGCAGCAGTCCCTGGGGATTTACTGATGGAATAATGTGTTTTGGACTAAATGTTTTTACTGGATTGGATCGTCTGGACCCTTGACAACGTAATGTTTTTGTTGGAATATAATCAATCGGTGGATTAAGTTACTGTGAGGCTTCATAGGTGAGTCGCGTCACTTTTACTGGCTTTCAAATGGTGGATCATATGAGTATGAAGTTAACATATCAGCTGTGTGCACGTACCAAAGCTGCCGCCTGTTGGCGGGCCGTTGGAATGTTAGGAGGTTGAATATAAAGTATAAGGTTAGCATAATATTAATATATTGACAGGTTACACTTTATTTGGATAGTCAGCCTACAGATATTTAAACAGTTTATTAGTTGAGATTCAACAATTTAACACAAATATAGCCATGTTCTGATATTACACCTCTGTGGTCGAGGTGTGATTAGGGCTAATTAAAGTGTATTCATTATAATTTCAGAAAATAGTATAGACTAGTAACATGGCTTACCACTAGTAGGATACAATGTTAATTCTGTTGAATATTTGAACTCTGTTGTGAAGTTTGCAGGTGACACCACCATCATCGGCCGGATTTCAAACAATGCTGAGACTTTATATCGGGAGGAAATTGATAATCTTGAGTGGAGATAAAGACACACACTCCTGTCTACATCAGTGGAGCTGAGGTGCAGCAGGTGAACAGTTTCAGGTTCCTGGGAATCAGCATCACAGAGAACCTGACATGGTCGTCTCACATCTCCACGCTGGTGAAGAAAGCTCAGAAACAACTGGATTTCTTGAGAAAGCTTAAGAAGGCCAAATTCCCGCGCCAAGTTCCTGTAGAAAGCATCCTGACTGGAAACATCACTAACATGGGATGTGCACGGCCCAGGACCGGAGGCTCTGCAGCGGGTGATTCAAACTGTTCAGAAGATCATTGGTAACCATCTCCTGAACATCAGTGATATCGGTGAGGTGAGGAGCCTACAGAGCCCAAAGGATACTAAAGGACAGCACCCACCCAGCCACAGCCTGTTCACCCTGCTGCATTCTGGGAAGAGATATAGAAGTTTCTGCTGCCACACCACCAGACTGCAGAGCAGCTTGTTCCCCCAAACTATCAGACTCTTAAACTCTAATTCATCCTCAGCACTGCTCAATTGATTATAGTTTATTAATTGCTTCTGTATTAATGTATATTGTCTGCGATGTAGCAGAAGGGAGTTACAAACTCAATTTCACTCTATAACCTGTTTATATTGTGACAAAAAACCTACCTACCAAATTCCAGTTGGACAAAACAGCTGTTTAATTTTTGTGGGTTGTTTTCATTCATTAAATTATTGTGCAAGAAAAATGCTCTACATGGTGTTCAGTCTCTGATTTATTAATGCTAAGGACCGACTAGTCATAATCATAACCATTCATGCAGAACAAAGAGTTCAACATTTCAAAAGTTTGCTGATTGGGGCGTCACTTTGTGTTGTAAAGTGGTGGGACATAAGGGCGCATTAGGGGTGATGATGATGACACACTAACCCCGCCCCTTTTATGTGGACCTGGCTGAATTGGGAAACCCTGGGTTGACTTAGCGAGTTAATGAGCAGCTTTGCCTGATTGTTAGTGAAGCAGACAGGCATCCTGGGTATGTTGAACTGGCTTTGTGGTACAGGCCTCTGATGTTTTTGCAGGCGTGTTCTACACTTCAGTATGACACACATCACCTACTGAAAACAAACTCCCCTTGCTGTTTTTTGAAGAAATCTGAAAGGACATGTCAGCTAATTTCCTTGCTTCTCTCTTTGCAGTGGACCGAAGCGCTACGACTGGACAGGTAAACACTGGGTGTACACTCATGATGGTATGAGCCTCCACCATCTGCTTTCTAAAGAGTTTTCCATCATCTTCAATAAAACCATGGACCTCTCTGACCTGCCCTATTCCTGAGTGCTAATGTCCTGCCACTGTAACTACTGCTGGATCCTGTAGGAGCCAAAGACACGACCCCACAGTAACTCATCAGCCCTTAAGAGAGCCGTTGTATATAAAGACAATAATCTGTGTGTGAGCTGTTGTTACTTATATGTTCCCTAATAATGCTGTATAACCTGTACTGTATAGCAACGCTTACTCATTAAATATTTGAAAACACCTACTGTACAATTCAGTCTCCATATAAACTGTCCTCAGTGTGACACACTGTCCAATCGATGAACCTATAAGCCTGTTTCCATTGTAGTCGGCATGCTAGTGACGTTGTTGCCAACATCTAACTTGTTCTATAATAACGCCTTACTCCCAACAATACATGAGTTTCTGACAACAAGGAATGGTCTAATGTTTTACTGACCTTAGCTAGCAAACGTTGGATCTCAATTGATCCCAATTTTCTAATGTAGATTTTTTTTACAGGCACAAACACAATTTGGGAGTGGTCCAGACCTGTCGTAGGAGTCCTGTGCAGTCAGTCTGCTGTTATCCTAATCTTACATTAATGGATTTGATATTTCATCACTTTGAAGCACTTTTGAGTTTAATTACATTTCACAATTATTTTGTCATCCTGTTTGTCTCTGCAATTCCAATTATGATATAACTCTAAATGTCTCCTAAGGACATCATTCATTTACGTGGCTATTAATGCTGCTGTGTAACACTACAATTTCAATAAGAATATCTGCAAAACGACTTCAATGCTGGACAAACTGAAGCTTAACTCGTCCCTGTATAAGTAGGCCAGCTGAAGTGTAATTTTTAGATGCCTTTGTGTGTTGATATATTGGCAAACTGATGATGAGCGGTGAATGGTTGTTGTGGTGTGAGGTTACCATGGGCTGCTTGCTTCTGAAATATGAGACTCGTCAGAGCTGGAACTCCACACACACACACATACATCTTTTTACTCTACTCTGTCATTTTAATGAATGAAGACTTTCTGACATATGGGGCTTTTAGCCTTATCTGGTATTACTGGGCTGTTAATTATGCTAATTTAGCATTAGCATGAACACACGCTCAGTTGCACACAGGAGGCATTCATGTTTAAGCAGGTCATTTCCACAGTTACCTCAAGTCAGGAGCATGGGCTGAATCTCACGTGGCACACTCTCCTACAAGCCTACCATACCAAAGAAGTAAGAGAAAGTTAAAAATACAAAAATGTTCTTGCATGAGGCCACACACGTTTTGTTTGAATTTTCCTTTATTTTGTATGTACAGTATTAAACACAAATGTTATCACTTGATCTATTCTACCAGTGCCAACAGGGGCAAAACCACTGCATTTTAAACATATGCAAATAGACAAAACACAATCAAATTTAGAAAATATTTTCATTCATCTGACAATTCTTTCCATGTTCCTTCAAATTTACTTTCATTTTCAGTTTCAGAAATGCTTTACAAACCGGTCTGTCTGCGAGGACTTAGGGCCGTCCCACTGTTCAATTGTCAGGTGCATGAGGGCTCTCTTGCAGACTTTTTGAGCCCTTTATCCACATATTTTGTAAGTCTGTGTCTTGCAGACTTTGCCTGAGGGAATTACACACAGTTCAACATGGGGTTACCAGGAGAAGCCTGGAGGCCTTAACAGAAGGTAAACAAACGCCACTCTGTAAAGCATCACTCAAATTTGAGTATGGGCAGAATTTAAAAACAATAATTAACAGCAGTGATACTGTTTCTGGAACTTGAACGAGCAGATTTTGATATTTCGTTAAATGGGGAAAAATCTGGGAATTGAAACTTCAGGAGAACAGCTGTGAGAAGGACAGACAAATCAAAACTATTGGCATCTTAGACCCCCCACTTCCGACACCATGCTCCTGCGCCCTCCTGCATATGACATGGAAATCGATGTCAGCACACCGTCTTGAAGAACGTCTCAGTTCATAAAATGCATCTCAAGGAGAGAGGAGGCTTGCCGGAGAAGCTATGAGCAAGGGATGCACAGGTGTATCCTTTGCGGAGGTCTTTGTGGCACCCATGACAAATAAAGGAGATGTGGCACACAGATGACTTTCCTGTCATCAGAAAGACTTGTGTTTTTTGATGAAAACAAGCGCTGTAAAAGGGCGAATGCCAAATTGAAGTAAATGACATGAGTGCTGATTGTGCCTGTAGATCGAAGTGAATCAGAAAGAGTCGTTGCCCTACCATGAAACACCTGCTTTTCGAATGAAGTTTGGTTTAACAGTCTATCCACTCAAAAGAGTTGATCTACCTTCATCATTTGTGTAGCGCATTCTTTAATGATATTTCATCATTAATCATTCATCATTATTTAAATTTTAAAGTTTATACCAATACCATGAAAAATTTATATTTTACACAGGTTTTTCTAAGGATTTGTCTTGGCATATCTTGGCAGCAGACAGCTGCTGCTGCATCACTCCGTATTAGCCGGTAGCTTGACACAGATGTGTGTTTTTCATAGACACTATATTACTGGACGAAGCTACTCAGCGGGTTTGAATGGAGAGCAGTGAGGCCAGTTTTGGAGCAGTAAAATACTACTACAGGGCTACTTCCTCTTGGCACCAGTGTCTACACCGTAATTGTGGTAGCTGCATAGCTGCGCCAACATAAAGTTTCTTGGCTCAGTGTGTTTGTCTGACCCGGGTCGTCACTGTTTAATCAGCCCACCTACGAGGCTCACCTGCCAAACACCAACACAGCGTCACTGATGGCCGAATAGTTGTTTTAGATTCACTGAGAGTCGAGGTGTTCGTCAAGGCTGCCCTGTCTCTCCCTACTTGTTCCTCCTTGCTGCTCAACTCCTCTCCACGTTAATTCATGAAAGTCATATTCAAGGCATCTCTCTTGCTGGCAGACGGATTACCATAAGTCAGGTGGCTGATGATACTACACTTTTTTTTTCAGACCAAATTCCTGTTGCCATTAAACTCATTGAAATATTCTCTGCAGCATCAGGTCTTCTAAACATTAAACAGTGTGAACATCCTTCCTTATATGGCATTCCGGTGAAATCTCAGGTAACTTATGTGGGCATTGTGATCACTAAAGCTGAAGATGAACGGTGCACTTTGAACTTCAGCCCTATTATCAATAAAACTCAGAAAAGATTCAGTCTCTGGCTCCAGAGAGACTTATGCGAGGTAGAACTCTGTTAACGAAAGCTGAAGTTATCTCCAGCCTTTTGTAAATCTGGTGATAAGATGTTATTTAAGTTGATTTGGAAAAACAAAAACCCACTATATAAAAAAATACTGTGATAATTAACACTATCGACTCTGGAGGCCTGAATTTCTTAGATTTTACTATCTTGAATTACACCTTCTAAATCAACTGGATCAATTTCTATGTAATCCAGAATCCATGTGGAGCTTCATTCCAAATTCTATGTTTTTCAAATTAGGTGGTCTTCCCTTCTTGCTTATGTCCAACTACAGTATTGAGAAAATGCCCGTCAGTTCAGCTCATTTTCACAAACAAATGCTGTTAGCTTGGTTTCTTTTGCACAAACACTGTTTCTCTCCACATCGTTATCTTATCTGGAATAACTGTGACATATTCAAAAACAAATCTATAGTTTTCCAGAATTGGTTTAACAATATTCTTTTTTGTAAAACAGTTATACAACTCAATGAACTATTCTGAATTCTTGTCTTGCTGTAACATCCATGCCACTCCGAAAGAGTTTGCTGTTGTAACGGAGGCCTTTCCCAAAGGTCTGACGATGTTATTTAAGGGTAACACTGAACCACTTCTCTAATCAGCTAATTAATCCAAAACACCTGCAAAGGGTTCCTGAGGCTTTAATTGGTCTCTCAGTCTGGTTCAGTGGAAGAAGACTGCTGACATGACAGTTGTGCAGAAAACCATCATTGCCACCCTCCACAAGGAGGAAAGCCTCAAAAAGTAATTACAAAAGAAGTTGGATGTTCTCAAAGTGCTGTATCAAGGCACATTAATAGAAAGTTAAGTGGAAGGGAAAAGTGTGGAAGAAAAAAGGTGCACAAGCAGCAGGGATGACCGTAGCCTGGAGAGGATTGTCAGGAAAAGGCCATTCAAATGTGTGGGGGAGCTTCACAAGGAGTGGACTGAGGCTGGAGTTACTGCATCAAGAGCCACCACACACAGACGGGTCCTGGACATGGACTTCAAATGTCGTATACCTCTTGTCAAGCCGCTCCTGAACAACAAACAACGTAAGAAGGAAAAAAAGAACTGGTCTGTTTCTCAGTGGTCCAAAGTCCTCTTTTCTGATGAGAGCAAATTTTGCATCTCATTTCGAAACCAAGGTCCCAGAGTCTGGAGGAAGAATGGAGAGGCCCCACAATCCAAGATGCTTGAAGTCCAGTGTGAAGTTTCCACAGTCTGTGTTGGTTTGGGGAGCCATGTCCTCTGCTGGTGTTGGTCCACTGTGCTTTATTAAGTCCAGAGTCAGCGCAGCCGTCTACCAGGACATTTTAGAGCACTTTATGCTTCCTTCAGCCGACGAGCTTTATGGAGATGCTGACTTCATTTTCCAGCAGGACTTGGCACCTGCCCACACTGCCAAAAGTACCAAAACCTGCTTCAATGACCATGGGATTACTGTGCTTGATTGGCCAGCAAACTGGCCTGACCTGAGCCCCGTAGAGAATCTATGGGGCATTGCCAAGAGAAAGATGAAAGACATGAGACCGAACAATGCAGAAGTGCTGAAGGCCGCTGTTGAAGCATCCTGGTCTTCCATAACACCTCAGCAGTGCCACAGGCTGATAGCATCCATGCCACGCCGCACTGAGGCAGTAATTCATGCTAAAGGGGCCCAAACCAAGTATTGAGTACATATGCATGATTATACTTTTCAGAGGGCTGACATTTCTGTATTTAAAATCCTTTTTTTTATTGATTTCATGTAATATTCAAATTTTCTGAGATTTTGAATTTGGGGTTTTCATAAACTGTACGCAATAATCAGCGAAATTATATCAAATAAAGGCTTGAAATATCTCACTTTTCATACTATATAGTATAGACTATATAATATATTAGTTTCACCTTTTAAGTTGAATTACTGAAATAAATGAACTCTTGCATGATATTCTAATTTTCTGAGATGCACCTGTACTTGATCACAAACAAACCTTGAGACTGAGATCTGTTTCAAACTTCTCCATCGATGCTACCCGACAAAACATTAT